AAGAAGCCGGCGCGTACAGACGGGCCGAGGCGGGCGGGGCAGAGCGATTACAAGCAATCCCTTCCCCCCACGATCAAACCCCCTAATGTGCGGGTTGGAGTATTTATAGTTGGAGTATATACATTAGGGGGAGGGGGGGGGTTGACATTAGAGGGAAAGAATTAACCCAGCTAGCAGGAGACAAGCTTTGAGGGATGACCAGGGACAGCTTGAATTCTTGAATGTGCTGGTTGCCAGCTCGTTTGAATTTGAAATTCGGCTTGAGACGAGGGCCGGTGCACCTTGTTGGTATCGTTCTGCTTGCTGGAGGTCTGCTCGACCTCTTCCTTGCCTTCATCACCATCCTCGCCTTCCTTGCCAAGTCTGCATACAGGACCCAAACTTGAAAGCATGAACTCCATCCATACGGCCGTCATAGCTAGCCTGTGGATACCTTGCAGGAGAATCAGATTTTGGCCCGGTTTCGGAAACTTCTTCGGCTTCCTCCCAGCGCGAGCCGCCCCACCACTTTCCAGTGCCATCGCAAGCCAGGTGGCCTTTCGCTTGGTACTTGGGACTATAATATACTATATACTATGCTATAATATATTATAATATACTGGATTATATTATCATAAACTATAATATAGTATAGTATGCTTGTGGACAAAGCAAAGTGGCTTTCTCTGTCTCTGGCTTATGCATCTGGCACAGCATGGCATTTTCTGAAATCCTGACTGTGATCCATGTCGTGCCTTGCGCGCGACATACGAGGCAGCGCACCTGCTTTATGAAAGACATGGTCCGGTGTCAGTACGTAGGCTGAGGGTCAAAACCGCACCTGTCTTCGCCTCTTAGGCCTCCCTAAATCCCCACCAGCATCTGAACTTCTGGAAGTATTCGACGCGCTTCTGGTACTGTAAGGAGCTGAAGTACTTTACGCTTCCAAGATGCCTCAAAAAGCTTGAGATGTGCACTGGCATGTGCCGTTGAGCGCTGGTGAATATCGACATACGCACTGCACAAACCATGTTGTAGTTTCTCAGAATATGTGTGGCTGTCGGACAGGTTGTGAACAGCCCTCATTCTCAACGGTTGGTTACATCATGTTACACAACTCTGTCAACACAACTGCCAGCCTCAGTCCACTGCTGCTTCTTCTCCGCCGCACGCAGCATTTTGATGGGACAGACCTCAGGCATCACTCCAATGACTTTAACTTAGTAGGTAACATTGACAGGATAGTGGACAATCTAACCATCTCCTAGCTGGAATTTAGAGCGCATGAAAAAAAGAATTGTCAGAAGAATTCAATGCTTCTGGACCAGGATAGGTTTTGCCTTAGCCTGTGGAACAAGCATGAGGCGCTGTAACAGGTTGCCTTTCAACTGACGTGGTCTGCCATTCAGCGCTGGGGACCTCCTCGACATGGCCATTCCGCTTGCACCTCGTGCCTAGGGATTGGCTCAAGCTCACTCAGCTTGCCCAAGCTCCAACACGTATCCGACATGTTTGGCCCTTCACCCTGCATGGCTACACGAAGTTCTTCGCCAAGGAGCACTTGAGCTTGTCATTTGGGCAGTTTTTGGTGTTGTGGCCAGTCTCCCAACAAATAAAGCACCTGCAGCATGCTGAGCAAAAGCCACAAATGCTTTGACGGTGCGCCTGCAATGTATAGTATGGAATGCACAGACAATCCGTCAGACGTTTGGCGGCCTGGTCTCAGGGCATTCGTAGGCCCGATGATTGCTGCCGCAGCAAACCACGCAAAATCGCTTGGCCCCTTCCCTTGCAAGTTTGGGCAAGATGACAGCAGCAAGTAGCACTCATGTTTGGATATCGGAATATGAGGCTTGTCAAGGAAAGTGCACCAAACGGATTCGAGCTGGTCAAGTGGCTTCGTGAGGTAGCCATCATCCGACATCAACCCCGTCTTTCCCTGGGCTTGACCTGTCTTTTGCTTGCTCGCTGCAGGCTCATCGTTTACCTGGGCTGGCATGCACCCAACACAGCACACGACCAATGTCGCTAGTCACTTAGTCGCTTGCGCCTAGGGGCATAATAGCGGCTGAGGGTGAACCCGGCTTTGGCATCCCGGCGCCGCACTTCTTCAGGTCGTGCTGTGCTGGTGCGATAGAAGAGCTCCAAGGAGTCAAAGGCCATGTCTCTGGCAGCCTGGCGAGCTTGTCCTATGAGTGCTATGAGCCCTGGGACCGGCAGCTAACTTTAATCTCGAGAGTCCCAGAATGCACGAGATGAAGCCACGCGCCTCAGGCGTGACCTCCACCCGTTCTTCCTTTGACGCACTGGGACCATCCAGGTTCTGCGTGCTAGGGACCACGTGAAACATCAGGCCGGGCGACCTCAAAGCATGCTTCAACTTGGACAAGGGGCTCCGAAAGGGGACTGCTTTATGTATGAGGATGCATTGATCTGGCTCCCTTCTACAACCTCAGAACTGAAGATGCCAGCTATCAAGTGTCATCAGTCATTACACTGTCTCTGAATCATGCCAAAGCTCATCAGCAGGGGTACCATGACCCTAAACCATTCTTGAAACCATGACTCCGACCCTAAACCCTCAATCCCACCACCTCTGTACCTTAACCCTATGGTATCGCAAAACCCTATATAATCCCCTTTTTAATCCTATAGTTTCAGTTTTCTTTTCCATTATCCCAATATGAACCCATATACACCCCATATAACCATATATACGCTATAGTATAATACTTTCCATTTGCTTTTCCATTATTCCCCATATAACCCCTACCCTAAACCCCAAACCTTACACCCTATATAACCCCATTGTAGTAGGCTCCATTGGGGATTATACCCTCCCACTAAACAGCTTCAGTCTTGTAGCTTTGGACCCTCCTTCAGCTCCTCCAGCTCCGGAAGCACTGCAGTGTCCGCAGACTGACCCAGGGGATATGACGGTTGAGGTAATGGAACATAAAATGGAAACTACTATTATAGAATAGGGTGTATATATATATGGGTAAAAAAAAGGAGAATGGAAAATGGACTATAATATAATTTAGAAAGAGTTGTTGGGGTCGATTTGCGCTTGCAGGCTGTCGGCTGCACTGAAAATGCTTCCACCTGCCTTCGCTACTTCCGCAGTCTCCGAGTCAGGCGATGCCTTGGATCCACCTGTCAATAAAGCTTGCTTCTGCTACTTCTGCTACGCCATTTGAAGCCCCAACATCTCCTGAACATGGCTGAGGCTGTTGCCCTGAGATGGAGTGGATTCAGGCACCTTGGGGATGCAGGAACAACACCAGCTTGCTGAAAGATCTCTCAAAATTGAGAACTTTTCCATGGAGCTTCCTGGACCTTAGGCAAACGACCCTACCACTTTGGCTTATGCAACAGGGGCTACCTGGCTTACAAAATCAACATGCGAGTAGCGTTTTCTTTCTAAGGCTTGTATGTGAACATGGATGTGTTGTTTCTCTTGCAGTAGCAGGTTAGGCAGTTAGGCAGGGGCATTCTAATTGTCCCGCCTATGAGGCTTGTGTAGTATCCTTGGCATTTGCAAGAGCATGTAGCTTACCTGTGCTTACCCACACACATCATGCAGATAAGACCGCCTAAACATGCCAGCGCAAGCCTGCGCTGTGATGGCTTGATTCTAAGGGGACACTCTTGCATCTTGGCTGCTTTGACTGTTCATGCAACAACGAAAAGACTCTGTTCAACTACAGACAACGATAACTGAGTTGTGGGCTGGCAGCGGCGGAACGAGCGATTCATCTGGCGAGCAGTCCACCCAAAAGGGCATTTCCTGGTTCGTGCAACAAGCCACATCACACTCACTAAGATAGCGAAGCCTAATCCTCATGGTCAACACGTGGTGGACATCCCAATCAGCGAGTGAAGTCCTGATCTTCATCATCGCTCTGCGCCGCCCCATGATGGTCTGAGTCTTGAGGCTCTGGTGGCCTGCCGCGTCAGTTGCAGCAAGCAATTACCCGCAGCAACTTGCAAAGCCTCCCTGAAAGGAACGCACAATTTCTGCTTTTGCTCAACGCCTCTTCTTCCATCTCTGCGGCGGCTTAGGAAGCCTCAGCAGGAATCAAAGCTGACTGAAGCTAAGCGTCGCTGAGGCATGGGTATGAGCCCAACACAAGAAGGATCACCCAGTCAGTCCCCACTCCTACTGCATAGATGGTGCAATAGCCGCAGTTGGGTAATTGACCAAAAAACATAGTCGGGGGTATTAGAGTAGGGCCATGCCAAGACATGACCTCCGCAGCTGCCACCATGACCACATCTACATGCATCAACCGTGTTCAAAAAACACCTCCACCAGCATCGTTGCTTAGCAGTAACAGTAATAACAAAACTTATACTTATACCAATAATAATTACAATAATAGTAATAATCGTAGTAGTAGTAGTAGTAATAATAACAATAATAATAGCAATACCGTTAACAAGTACCTGGCAGCCGTCGAGATGGGAGGCGCAGTGCCCAGCAGCGCCGACGACGGCTTCGCCGTGAGAGGCGCATGGCTAGTGAGTGTCCCGTATTTAAGTGGAGATTTGTCCAAAGTTGCTATTTTGGTCCATTGACCTAGGGATTCCATTATACCGAAAAGAGCAGAAAGGTTCCCCACTGGACTTGTAGAGGTACCACGTATCTGAGCAGGTAGCAATAGCTGTTTTGCTGGAATCGTTCGTCGCGGTGGCGGTACCACCAGGTTGGGTGGTGGCTGTGCTGAGGGTGGCGATGGTGCTGCTGGGGCTTGGTGTCAAGTTGCAAGGATCCTCATGGTTCATGGACCGGGCAGTTGCTATTCCCGGCAAATGGTCTGTCCTGTCTGCTCAGAATGCAACACCACCTCTCCCAGCGGGCCTGCCAGCAGCAGCCTAAAGGCCGCCGTCTTATGGCTTGGGCCGAGAAGCTGTGACAGGCCACATCAATCTGCGTCAGGCACAAATTTGAATGACTCTGGTCATGTTCCTAGCATGTCCACATCCCTGCTGCACCGTGGGTCAAGTTCTCCGTGTGCCTCCCGCAAATGTCTACTCGTGGAGCTGCAACAGCACATCCAACCTGAAGCCGCTGCAGCTGGTGAGCTGATGTCATCGGTGGCGAAGTAAGCCCAAGTCGTAGACGAATGCATTAGAATGCTCACGTTCATGCAGAGGCCACTTGGGCCGAACCACCAAGTGGGATCCCGAATACTCTGGTTGCTTCCAGGACACGCTGCTAATGACCGTTGTCATCGTCCACCACACCTTCCATCCAACTGGGCGACAGGATAAGATCAAACCCTCACAGTCAGTTACATTTTCCATTTGATTTGATCTCTGATTCTCCACTACTGGGGGTAATATCCCTGCACCCTCGACCCTGCAACAGTAGTTTCCATTTCTTTCCCCATTTGATCTTTTTAATTTGATTCTTCATTGCGAGAATAAACGTCCCTCCACCCTGAACCCTAAAGAGTACTTTCCAAGTAATTGTCCATCTGATTTTCTGTTTGATTCTTCATTAATGGGAGTAGTTTTGCAAGAGGCTTTCTTAGCCCGCCTGGAAATGCGCCTCTGGTATCCCAACCTCCATAACCTTGCCGGAGTAGTATCCCTAAACCGGAAACACTAGTTGCCATTTCATTTTCCGTTTAATTCTCTGTTTGACTCTCCATTAGTGGGGGTCAAACCCCTAAACCCTAAATGCTAGTTTCAATTTCATTCCCACTTGATTTTCTACTTGATTCTCCATTCATGGGGGTCATTCCCCTAGACCCTAAACAGCAGTTTCCATTTGATGTTCTACTTGATTCTCCAATATTCTCCATTGATGGGGGACCCTACGTTGTAGTTTCTATGTCAGTTTCCATCTGATTTTCCCATTTGATTCTCCATTGCCGGGGCAGTATCCCTACACGCTAAACCCTAAACAGTAGTTTCCATGTAATGTTCCATCTGATTTTCTACCAGTCTATGATGGGGCTAGCATTGCTAAGCCATGAAACCCAAACATCGGTTTCCATTTCATTGTTCATTTGATTCAATTTGCTTTTCCATCACTGGGCTAATATCCCTAAACCCTACACACTGCTTTCGATTCATTTTCCATGTTATTTTCCATTTGATTCTCCATTACTCATAGTAGGTTCCTGCGACCCAACTTCCCTTTTGCTGCGTCTTGCTGCGCCGTCTGTTCCTTCCTGTCAACTCTCCTGGACAGAGCTTTGAAAAATTTGCTCTGGTTCTTGCAGGGCCTGCGTAAAATGTATTCCATGTGGGGATCTTTGGGCAGCAACAAGAGCAGCAACAGTACCAGGCGCAGTGTAGCAGCAGGAAGGGTGGTGCCAGCAGTGTCCTGGAGCGGCAGCAACACCAGCACAGGTCGCAGACGGCATCATTTTAACTGCTGGAATAACGAAGTTCAAGCAATGGGGTCAAACAAGCAAAGCCATACTGGGAGTAACGGCGCTGTTTGCGAGAGCAGCAACAAGAAGGCGGGTTGTCTACTAGCACACCAACCCAGAGCGGCAATCGTGACAGGAATGTGCAGAAGTTGAGTCTGCAAAGTCTACCCAATCGGATGCAGGCCCCGACCTGTTCGGAGATGTGACATAAACTTCGCTAAACATCTTAAGGTGTAGGTATTTCAGGGGGTATAGGACCTGATGTGTACACACCTCAAAATAGGGGATGATCTTGCAAGAGTCATGCGGAAGGGGACGTACGCTGGACCCCAACTTTGAGACGCAGTCAGATCAGGCCATCTTGCCGAGATTCATGTACCCACTGGATGTCACCATGCTGCCTTGGCTTCTTGGCAACGCAACAGAATTCTACACGAAGAGGCACAGCAAGAAGGAAGCCCTGATGTAACTGATCCCCTCCCCCTAGTATAAACCCTCTAATATTCAATATATACTACAATATAACACAATGGGGGGGGTGCATTTATTATTAGAGGGGTGGGGAGATTTAATTTTAGGGGGAGGGGACTAATCTGGAGTCCCTGCAACAAAGTTGTCGGCAGCTTGAATCTCATCCAAGGGCACTCGGATACTTGCAAGAAGGCGCTGTCACTAGCATCCTACTCTGGAAAGCTAGAGGCTTGACTGTGCCTCAGCCGGAACGATGCGACGGTGTTTAAAACGCGACATTGGGCAAGGCTGATGGTTTGCCTGGCTGATGCCTGAGGATTGCACAAAGCCTAGATTCCCTTACTCTCACTCGTACTTCATTTTTTCCTAGCGACTTCTCCTTGTCGTGCCCTTGCGATTCCGTAGTTCATGATGCCCTGCACAAAAACCGCAAGAGGCTGCACAGATCAACCCAATGATGTTGGCAGCCCGCAAACATCAGACAGGCGAGATCTGGATAGGCAGCTGTACAACTCCTGTAGACAGGGCCTGTCGCTCTTGCTGTCTCATTGGCTCCATTGTGGGCCGGAACTGCCTCTCTTTGCTCAAAAGGCGCGAGAGGCTCCCCACTCTCCCGGACCTTTGATGGAACTGTACGGTAACACGGGAAATCGGCTTTTGCATAAGCTCTCTGGTTCCGATTAGACAGTAAGCGATTGCACCCGCATCATTACTTGTCCGCTTTAAGGCTTCCAAGCCCTTGACCTGCTGTTGGATTTGCAACGACATCAGATTCCCAACATGCTTTCTATACTTCCTCTGATATGCTGCAGAAGTCTGCAGTCTAAAGATAGTGGCGGGAACTATCTTAAATCTTAAGGCCTTCGGAACAGAAGGGAGCCCTCGGCCTCAGTAAGCCTATGCATGCAAAATGTTTGCCCAATGTGCGCTCAGGTCTGCACATGCAGGACACTGCAATCGTTGGCAACCCCAAGCCCATTGCAACACAGCAGGAGATGACCTTCATAATGTAGTAAAATGGTAATATTCTGATAATCAGCATTCTCAAGGATATCTCACGAGTCGGAGCTGCACGCAGCAGTCTCTGCCAGGGTGGTGCCTGAACCCCGGCTTGGCTCTTCAAACGGAGCTGAACTAACCTCCTTGAGCCAGCCTGTGGATGTTTTAGGTTTCTAACTGCTCAGCATGGGCACAAACAAAAGTGCGCCTTGCACGCTGGATCCGGCACAGCACGGATCCCTGTGGATTCAACATGACCAGGAAAGGTATAAAAAGCCCTCTGCTGCATCTTCAAGGCAAAGCAGCACCTCAAGTATGCTTCGCTTTTCAACAAGGTTTCCAGTCTAGAACAGACACTCAACCATGTGAAGGCGCTGTTCGAGGGCATTGCGCGCAAAACTCCAGGCATTATTGGGGACTGCTTCCCAAAGCCCTGGTGCATTGGCGTACTGCAGCGGCGGGCATTTGGCATCTTGTACAGGGAAAAGTGGTGATCTGATTATCTCATGAAACCAGCAAGTTTGTCCCGCCAGATCCCAGCTGCCTACTGGTGGGGTACTCTGTGGTAGCTAGCTAGGCAATAGTATATTACCGTATAGCTAACGAATATCATAGTGTATTATAGTGTATTATAGTATATTATAGCATAAGAGTTCAGGAAGTTGCCATGGATCATCTCAGCGTCATTGGCCATGTTACTTCCAGCTACTGTGACATTTCACCCGATGGCCGGCCAAGCCATTGCTCAGCCACTGCAGCATTTGGGGCTTTCCCAAACATAGGGGTACCTTTTTGGGGGGTCCCCATAATAGAGTATTTTGGGGCCTGTATTGGGCCCCCCCCTATTTTGGGAAACTACCATTTAAAGGTGTACTAGCACCGAATTGCTCCGCCAGACGCTTGAGATCTTCACCTCAAGCTGCCTAGGGCTGAAGTGCACGACCTTGAGAGGTCCGCAGAAATGGCGCGGGACAGGAAGGTACCTCTGGAGAGCTGGGGCAGTACCCAGCACAGTTCTACGGCTTACCTGGGTAGCTTCACAAGTCCCTAGGATGCCAAGCTCTGCTGGTCACGCTCAAGTTTCGAATTTTCCGCAACTTCGGATTATCGAGATGGCCAGCCTGCAGAAAGTGCCGCTTGCTTCCAAATGTTAACGTGTTTGATGGGCCCATGCCCCTACACAACAGAAGTTCCAGCGTGGCATGTCGGAAATCCTTCCCACGCGGAATCCAAAGGAGGCTGCGCAATCCTTGCTGATGCCGTTTCCGCTCATAGTGACGAGGTGATTTGCGTTAAACCCTAGTGCTCCAGCAAGTGACCTTCAACGACACCAGCCCAGCATGATGCTGGAAAAGGCTGCTCGCTTAGCTCCCCAGAAAAAAACAAACACCAAGGGGTGACAGAGAGAACTTATGCTAACTTGAATGTATGTCTACTGCCGCTTGGTGTGCTACTGGGCCTGCGGGATCCCCCAACCCCTTAAAGTTGAAAACAGGGGAGGAGGAGGCTGGTGACCCATCTTCGCAAACTGTGATAGGCGCTGCTTGAATGAGCCAGCTCAGGATGTCCAGCCTGTCAAAAGGTCTTGCGTCAGCTTCAACTGAAACTGCAGGTATGCCTCTGCTGCAGCCTCTGCTTTATCAGCATGTTACTACAGAATCTACTTCTCCAGGGGTCAAGCAGCATCAAGAGCAAGCACTACTAGGAGCTGGAATGACTCGGAAAATCTCAGGAATCTTGCAGCCAAGGCTCTGCAAGACTTTAGTTGCACTCATCTCCAGCGCCCGCTATCTTATGATTCGGCTGCGTGTCGGCGCCTGAGTTTCAGTGATCCCTCCTGTCAAATGAGTAACCCCTATACTAGTCCCCCATATGATGCCCTTCATATCCCCCCTTCAAGAGCTTAGACTGTAGTACAAATGATGAAGCACTTGACGAGCAGTGCGGGCCGTGGGAGGGGAGCGGTGCAGGCCGGCAGGAGCCCATAAGTTCTGGAGCTATATAGTATATGGCTATATAGTATTTGGATAATGGAATAGAAGCTGGAAACTGCTATAATGGGGTTATGTGAGGTGTAGGGTTTAGGGATATTATCCCCCTCTAATGGAGAATCAAATGGAAAAGAAAATGGAAGATGAAATGGAAACTGGGTCAACATCAGTCTAGGGGTTGGAGTACCACTTGGTAAAGCAATCCGCAAAGCAGCAGGACTCTTTTTTGTTCTCAAAAATTTATGCTTGCCATCATGTCCCGGTGCACCTGCCATGACGTATAAACTTCTTCCTGAACTAGGAGTGCTACCCAAGAGCAATCATTTCGCACGTTGAGCGTCTGCTGAGGGAAGTCCTGTCAGGAGCTTTTGGGTCCCAAGCCTGGGTGGCTCGTCGGGATCAGTTTCAGGATGGCCGGGGGCAACCCCTAGGCAACCGTCAGAACTTTCTGCGCATAATGTCATTCCCTCTTAGGCTTCGCCCGCATGGGCGGATTCTTCGGTCGCCCAAACATCAAGCTTGAAACAACCCCTCCCCCTGAAGGAGGATAAAGTAGAATTCAAACTGCTGCAAATGCACGCCCTTACAACTTTCAAGCTGGCAGGGGCAGCCTCACTTTCTTCATCGGAGTCCTTAGTTCAGGCCTACATAAATCATAGCACAGCACCTGCCGTCCCCATCATGCTTGAACCAAAATCCAGCTGCCAATAAGCGGCGAGCCATACACTTGGAGCCAGTCCGGCAACACGTCGAGCATAAAAAGACTCAGATGGTTGTCAGACTGCCCATCTCGACACTCTTCGTTTGGATGATCAGTTACGCGCTGGCTGTTGAAATGCAGATGATCTGGGCGACGACTTGAGCGAAGCTTTAGAAAACTTCCAATTTGTGGCGGGGGCAAACTGAAAAGGGCTGAAAGGCTTTCATGGCAAAAATGCAGCAGTCTTTGCTGCAGCATGGGCACCGAAAGAGCCGTCTGTCCATACATCTCCTTGGCAACAGCTGGAATCTATAAGAACTTGAACTCTGCCTGGACTTTGTGCGCCAGAACTCCGCCGCCCAAATCTGAAAAATGCAGCAATCCAAGCAGTGCGGTGCTGTTTCTTGGACCAAGCCTCTGTCCTCCGTTCAATTTTGTGAGCGATGCAATGAGGTGCCTAAGCTCAGAGCCACCCTTGGCCCACAAAGAACACTTGAATCTAGCTTGAAATTTGGATGTCATGATTATGACATTGCTACTTGTACAAGCCTGGAGGCTGGATGTTCTAAGGTCTTATGTCTTATGTTCGCAAAGCAAGATTGGAACTTATTGGCGAAAGCGCCGTTGCAAGCGATACCATGAAGGTTCACAAGCTCCGAACACGGGGACAGGCACCTTGAACTACTCAAGTCTGAACGTGGTCTGTCCAGCCTTGTGCTCTACAGGCGTGGTTGATGCAAAGCATCTCTCCCCATCCGCATCTGCAGAGTCAGCAAAGTGGAAGGAACCTCGGGACAAAAAGCAAGCCGGTAGGCAGAGATTTCGCAGTCGGGCACAATTTGGACACTTTCATGTCGGCCGTCCTCCTTGTTGCAGCCCAGCTGCGGTCCCTGCTGCAGCACTGCCTGCTACCCAGAAGATGTGGTGATTGTGGAACTAGTGTGGGGTTCTGATGCACATGACGCGAAAACTTTTCTCGCCAAGAGTCGATTGCGACTGGCACACCGGGGTGCAAGATGCAAGCTCAGCGTGCATCGTGGCAGCTGAGGACATCGAACGCCTCCATGCACGCAGCACAAGACAGGGGAGTCGGAAGCAGAACATGAACAGGTTAACATGCCTCATGCCAAGCCTTAGGGGTTCCATGGTGTAGGATTCGTTACTGTAATAGTGGGACATTACCCCAATGGAGAATCAAACGGAAAATGAAATAGAAACAGGGGGTCACCAAGCACCTACAGTCTCAAGTTGATCCACTCAGTCCCAGGCTCTCACAGAACAAGACAGCTCCACCAGTTTGCCAGCTGAGCCGATCACAAATGCTGCGGGAAAAGGAACAATGCCTGGATTCCTGGTCTCCTGGAACACCCTCTGTTCCTCCAAAAGGCTAAAAAGTCCCAAACTCGCATGCAATGTATGCCAGCTGAAGCAGTCGACCCTAGGCATGCTCAAGTGAGCTCGCTCCTGCAATTTCTTTGACGAGCAGCGTCTGTCTGCTGTCGGACCTGCGCAATGATTAAGCTTCAACTACAAGTTCACCACCGGTGCCCACTTTGGACGCACACCGGAATAGCTGTAGAAGTAGCAACGTTCAACCGCTCTCAGCTTGACTGAAAAAAGCGGTTGCTTGTAAATATCGATAGCTCTGTGGCTCCATTGGAGTTCTTGAGCTGCTGAAGTGGCAAGAGCCGCTGATTAAACCGCCGGCTCATTGAAATGCATCTGCGATTTGGAAGGCAAGCGAAATACCTTGAGAAACTCTGCTGGATTGGCAACTTCCACTGGTTGCTGCATCTTTTCTTGCGTTATTAGATGCGCTTCCGCCATTTTCATGGTAAGCTTCGTGACCTTCCGGTCCAACTGCCTGAGCTCAGCTTGCATGGCCACCTGGTCAATAACCCTGGCCGCGCCCTTGCACCGCATGATGCCATTGATGAACTCGTCTAGAGTTACCTGCTCCGGGGCAGCAGCAGCGCCGACAAAGTAGACCGTGACCTACCTACTCAAGTAATTATCCAAAAGCCATCAGAGGCCCCACAAGGCGAAATCAAGGTCCCAAATAGCGCTGATATAACTATAGCTACATCCTGGCGGAGAGAAGTTGCAGTTGCTGCGTATGGCTGGGCAGCATTGTACAAGCTCACGAGAATGTGTAAAGCTTCAAGCTCGCAGCATGAATGTCAACCGCGAAAGGTTTTCTGAGGGAGAGTGAAGTAGGGAATGAGACCCGGGGTGTGGTCTGCTGTCATTTATCCTAGCCACATTAGCCACAGTGATGATCGTGCCGCCACGGTTTTCCGTGTCTCGCTCTTGCACAAAGGCGATATGTTGCTTCCTGAATGTGTGGTGGACTTGCGACTGCTCCACGTTGAGGGCGGAAACTAGTTTGCCGCTCACGGTGATTGTACTTTGCGCGTTTCCTAATGAACGTGAGTAGGTGCTGACATGGAGTGCCTGTCGACCAACACAAATGCTCCGCATGCGTCAAGCAGCTCAACTATCCAGAAACAAAGACATACAAGGGCGGCAAAACGAAGGGCGAATTACCATCAGCCCATTCCCCTAGTGCTGCGCATGACGCTGAACGCTTCCTGACAAAAGTCGCACTTTACCATAAGATATATACATATATACAGCTCGTGTGAATGCAATGCCTCCAATTTGTCCATGTTATAGTTTTGTAGAGTCGCTCATACCGTGAATGTATGTTCTGGATCAAAGTTGCTTGCTGGGCTCTGTGGCTATGAAAGGACAGTCGCGAGCAGCGTAGTGTCATGACAGGGGTGCGCTCATACATCCGCAGACCAGTTTTGGGGCTTAGGGTTTAGGCCAAGCCAAAGCTGCTGAGCTATGGGGGATCAGCTTCCATGCATTGAACCTGCGGCACACACGAACAAGCCCAAGCGCACATGCCGCAGGGGCACGTGAGACGCTTCTTTGGCAGCCTTGTGCTGGAAGCACTCCGTTTGCCCGTTGGAAAAAAATCATTCCTTCATGTGGCAGCATAATGAAGAATCCCATCATTGAAACTGGATGGAACAGGTAAGGAAGTTTCCTGCGGCAAGCATTTCCTGCACACAAGGTCTAGACCTAGTGCAACAGCACGAATTGAGGAGTTCTGAGGGCCTACCCCAAATTCTACATCCTGTGACCATGAACAACGATGCTTGCCATCAGAGGGGAAGTGATGTTTGCTTGCAATGTCTTGCGAGGGATTGGTTTGCCCTTCTTGCGCCTTCCCATCACCATCATCAAGGATGTGGAACCTGGGTGAGTTTAGGGTTTTAGGGTTTAAGGTTTTAGGGTTTGAGGCGTTGAACATTTTGATTTAGGTCTCTCATAGCAGCTTCAGATCGCCAAACACAATTTCTTGCTAACCATGTCTTGCAACAGCGCAGTGCTCTCCTTAGCTGTCTCACGTCGCTTGAAGCACAAACCCTGAACTTCCCTGAACCCTAGAGTTTCAGAGTTGCCTAAACCCGGCCTTTGCTTTCGCTATACGTGGCCTGTTTGGGCTCTTCTTCGGAAGCTACTACATTACTACACGAGCTATGGTCTAAACTCCTAGCATCCCCTATGATACTCCCTATATAATTCCCTATGTAACCCCTTTTAATGAGTTTAGACTTTAGCTCACGTGATATTCAGCCGCGCATCGTGCAAGTCCACCTCCAAACTCTGAAAGTAAGCTTGGACCTTTGGCATGGCCAGTATTGCGTCCAAGCGCTGCTGGGTGATCATGCCGTCACCTTGGGCATAGACTACTTCTTGGTTTATGGACCTCGTTCCATCTGGAAACAGGCATTGGGAGTCTATGGGACTTTTTCAGTTCATCAGACGGGAGACGTTCAACCTGCGCTTGATGGTTCCAGACAATCAGATTTTCTTAACACGTGTTAAAAAGTTGTACGCTTAGAACAGTCTGGAAGCCTTCCATATCGATGGCCTGGAAATTCGATTCGAGCTTCCGGATGTACTCAGCCTTCTTCTTGAGTCCCTGGGACACCAGAAGTTCTGCATCAGAGTGCGCGGCATCCATCGTATCTTTCTGGCTTGTTCATATAAAAAATGAGGACAATCTTAATCCGTAATCTGCACAATCCCTGTCAAGGTCCCTGTCAAGGTGTTAATCTGTTCTAATCCGTAATCCCAGGTTGTGGGATTCCGTAAACCGCTGCCACTCCGTAATCCTACTAAGCATGAGCAGCAGTAGTTATAGAACCCTTTTGGCAATGATAGAAACACAGATAGCTTATTCTCAAGATGATAGGCCCCTTTTGGGTCTGACTTATATTCTGCACCTAATATTTAGGGGTACCAAAAGGGACCCTAATTTTGGGAACCCCCCCAGAAATAGCAGTGGCAGCAGCAGCGGCGGCGGCTTCAGGAGTGGTGGTACTGGTGCTAGTAGCGGCAGTGCTAGGAGTATTCATGGTAGTAATCATAATGGTGATTTAGGGTTTAGGGGTTTAGGGGTTAGGGGTTTAGGGTTATGGTAGTAATTATAATGGTGATAGTAATGTTGGCTAATAGCAATCTACCTCACATGGGGACCCTAGGCTTGAAAGGGAAGTGCCCATCCCACTAGCTCCCCGGGCAATTGAGTAAAAAAGCCATCAATTGACTCAATTGACTGGCCAACATTAGCCTTAAGACAACCTTGGGGTCTGGCCATGTAGGGCATTTGAGCCATAGTCTAAACTCCAAGTATCCCCCTTAATAACCCCTATAGTAGTCCACTATATAATCCCCTATATAACCCCCCTTTATAGCTCATTTGGGGACTTCAGGCTTGAAAACGAAGCAAACCCACAGCCCAACAGTAGTTTGTGGTAGGCAGGTAGGTTTGTAGGTAGGTAGGTACCTAAGTCGGTAGCATTAATTGCACTTTGAGTACTGCTACGGCCACTGCTCCCCCTTCTTGTCTACTCCTCCGCAGTCATGTATGAAGTCGGAGATGTATTTATAGTAGCTTAACGGAAACCGACAAAATCCGTAGTCCCCAGTCCGTAGATGCATACATAATCCGTAAAGGCCCTGAGGATTGAGCATTGCTTCAGTCCTTGATAAACAGAGCCGTGATGATGCGAATGACGGCAAAGGCCACAACTGTAATATATATGATGAACACCGCCGAGAACGCATGGCTAACTTTGTCGAGGACTGGTCGCGTATTGGTTGGCCAGTTGCCTGTCATGGGTGTTGAAGACATGGAGGCAATAAAACATGGCAGCCAAGCACGGCTGTGGGGCAGTTAGACCAGCCAAACTGGAAAGCACAATTAGCTCATTGTCTTCCTGCGAAACTCCGGGGGGCATTTCTTTATCAGCCTATGTCTGGCTCTGACCTCGGCTGCCTGCTGGAGAACTCTACATCTATAGATCTATGCGGCAAGGACCTGTACGCCTTCTTTGGCGCAGGCCTCCTCTACTACTACATTTACGCGAACTGGAAGTAGTAGAAGATTCAATTTTCAATATCCCTAAAAGTGCAGTTTTTGCCGCTGGGCTACGAGCTTTCTTGTTCAGCGTCTACACTTTGGAGCCTCAACAGTATCATTATGCTGTCGTTCTAGTGGGGTTGTTGTGCTCACATAGCATTTTCGCAGTGTTCAAGGGGTACGGGTTCAAAGTGTGAAGTTTCACGGCTTAAGGTCTTTCAGGCTCGAAGCTGACAATGTTCCAGGGGTACGAATTCCGAGTGTGGCATTTCAGTGCGTGAGGCTTTCAGGGATCCAAATTCGAAATCTTGAAGGCATTCGGCTTCAAAGTGTGAAGTTTCAGCGTTCAAAGTCTTAGATGTTCAAATTTGAAATGTTAAAGGGTGCCAGCCAAATTCTAAACAGCTGACTAGCTGACTGACAATTTTAGGTGTTGGCGTTTTCTTTGAAGTTGCTCAACTGAGCTGATTGGAAACACTGAAGAACTTAATGGCTGAGCTTCGCATTTTTGCCACTTGCATGGCCATACGGCATCGCAAGGTAAGATTTGGGATTGAAGGTTGGACCTGAGCCTTTCAGGGTCTTCAAGTGTCTTGAAAGGCTTTAAAAAGTTGAACAACCGGCAATGTTTTAGCTATCTTGCGTTTTGACCCCAGTACTACTTTAACAAGCAAAGCTTGACAAGAAACAGTCAATTTGTTTTTTGATTTGTTTGTTCAAGCCTTGGAGATGTGTTGTTGCCACAACCCAGGGCCCAAACAGTGCCAAAACACATACAAGTACCTCGCTTTTGTATTTTTGATCCTCGAACTAAAAAAGCAAAACATTTTAAACAATGAATTGAGTTGGATTTTCGTCCGGGATTTAGGGTGTTAAAATATTTACAGTATTCAAGAGTTGAGAATTAACTACTGAGCTTTGAAAGCTCTCCTCCGAATATTCTAAGAACCAAAACTACATCACCTGGCTATATGCTTGGGATTTAGGGTTGGAGTTGGGTTGTTATTCTGAAGCCTTTAAATGAAAAAGACAAAGAAATAATAGCCTATTTCGTGTCTTATCTTTGAAAAATTGCTTGTCCCTCGAGCTAAGCTTTGAGACAGTTAGAAAGCTCAAGAAAACAATTAATGCATTTAATGTATACATACATTCTCGTTCCGACTGGGGCAATACACAAAAAGTCCAGACTCCGTCAACCTCCTCGCCAACCTCTGGGCCCCTGTGCAAAAGATACATAATATGGACCATGAAGAGAATCAAGCACTTCTTGCCTGCAAATGTCAGCTCAAAAACCGTCAGAAAGGACCGGTACGCAGTGCCATACTGCCACCACACCCAAAGGCGGTCATCGAAGTCTGCTGTAGCATCTCCTATGAAGCCCTGTAATAGATTCCCCAAGGCCACCGCAAGCGTCAGCATGAAAACTGTCAACAACATCATCGACTCGAACAAGGACTTCACAAATGATTGGCAGGCTCTCAGCAGAACGTGAAGACCTTGGCACGGCTCGAAGACACGCAGTAATCGAACAAAGCGGAGCGCATTAAAGGCTCTAAACATATGCAGATCGACAGAGTCCCGTGGAATCGCGTTTGCGGAGTACACGAGGACAAGAACGCCCAAGTCCACCAGCCCACCCAAGGCTAGTAAGCTGTCGAAGGCATTAGCTGTGTTCTGCAGGAACTTTCCACGTTCAACGGAAATTCGCAGAAGCAGCTCGAAAACAACAAACAAATCAAACACCCCATCCATTGCCAAGCAGGCTGTCCGGACTCTGGTCAGGCTTTCAACAGAAGCGAAAAGTATCCCAGCTTCGGAACCTGCCACTCTGCCATCTGCCTCCAGCTCCAGCACGAGCAACATGCAGTTGAGGCAAAGCAGCGTGCCGCTGACCACGTCCATCCACTGAGTGTACCACTTCTCGACAAAGGTATACACCTTCTGCTCAGTTGGTGAGCTGGTCTCGGTCAAGCTACGGAGGCCCTCCACCACCTTTGCGCTTGGATCAGTCCGGGATGCCCTGGATGTCCGCCGGCCGGAAACACCAGCACTAGCCTGGGAAAGATGCAGCGAAGGGCAACTCCAAACGTAGCAAAAACAATTAACTTGGCAATCTGGGGGTCCTTCAAATAGTTCCTGTGCACCCTAAGTAAAATGCAGGAGAATATGGGGAGGTGTCTATGAAGCATTAAGTATTAAGGATGTTAGATGTTAGAGACATACTTTTGAGAAACCGCCCAGCTTAGCTGCTTGTTCACTTCTCTCCACACAGGTAGACATCGATTGACAAGGTTCCCGTCTATGTGAGCAAAGGCACGGAAACTCCTCGGTATCCCATGGCGCATCAGCCTCTCGTATGTTCGAGGCTGCCGAATCCTAAGCAGTGCATCAAAACATGGCAGACCGATGGAACCTTGCAGCCAAGCCGATAACATTCTCTTGCTCTTGCCACTGCCTGAGGCATCCCTCCCCGTCATTGGGCACAGTGCGCTGTCAGACGTTGTGAGGTGAGGTGAGTGTGGGTTTAAAGTTCAGGCTGAAGGCTGCTGGTGTGTTTACCATACCGAATGGTTGCAAGAAGTCATTGGAAGAATACTGCGAGGCTAATTGGCTTTCCGGGCAGTACTGCAGCAGGGCATCATGAAAGAATTGTTGTATTCGTCAACCGCAAAGTATGCCGGGAGTTCAGCTGGGAGGGAGCAATTTTACCAGCAGCTTGACAGTGAGAGAGAAAAGGAATGTCCCCTGTACCAGGCTTGCTCAAAGGATGCTGGCATACACACTGCTAAATTGAGCATGACTTGTGCTCCGAGAATCTCTCTCAATGTCTTACCAAGACGTTTCACATGAGTCTCATGGTTTTGTTGGTTTCGTCAGCCTGCAGCAGCACTTGCCCGTATGATCCTGTATGGATTTGACCATGAAGCACTGGACATGGGCTGTTTGCTTCGGATTCTCCTCATGTGTTCCTGCTGACGCTCTGCGTCCAGGGTGCTGGTACACATGAAAGACGAAGATTTGTAGCTTGCTTCCAAGCTGCATGACGATCAACAAGTGATCCGTGGCTCTGTTTCAACCTAGGTTTCGACTGCTTTGCTTCCTGTTTTCCCGCGAGCTCAGATACAGTACTAAGCCGGGACAAACCCGATTAAGCCAAGCGACCTCGCGAAAACCGCTTGAACCAAGCGGCGCTGCCTGGGCTCAGGAGAACGCTGAAGACTCTCCTCGTACTGTAAGGTCTGCTGGAAGGAAACCCGAAAGCACCCGGCCAGGTCGCAGAGCGTGCTGCTCATCTGCATGCTTCAAGAGTTCTCGCTCTTGATCATTGAGGGCCACAACCAGTGCCATGGCTTGGCAAGTAAGCCTCTCTCTGCAGCTCCAGGCTTGAGCCTGGAATGTCAGCATCGCCTCTGCAGGGCCACCCTCACCCGCACACCAAACCTGATAGCGCACAGTAGGCCTGCATCCCAGAAAGTCAAAACCTGGACGCTGAAAAGACTTTTGCAACAAAAATTCTGGGCCGCATGGTCAATCATAACCACCCTGGCGCACCGAATTCGCTGCATGCAGCGCGCACACTAGTAGAAACACGTACGATTCAGTGGTGAAAAATGGGTTCTGTGAGTTTCCGGCACCTGTTCTTCGTCCGCTTCTTCTTGCAGAGAGTGGCTACGGCCTGGCCCGGAACAACTCAAGTTGCGGCTGCAGACAAATGAATGCACGACCGTTTGCGGATTTTACTTATGAAAGGCGGTCGAACTCAACTCGGGCAGTGAAAAACTGTCAGATCCAAGCTTGTTCCATCTCCGCCTCTGGCCGAAGTTTGTGATTCTGTGAGACCAACCTGCCTGCACTTCCCTGCACAGTCGCCCGAGCAGGAGCTTTACAGACAGCTGCCCAGAGCCAATATCGGCAGCACCACGCCGGTAAGCATGCGCTTAGTGCTGCTTCTCTGCCCCCAGCCAGCGCTGGTCACTGGGAATACTACCACATCCTGCGGATACTGAGTACCTCAGGAGACTCAAGCAGCAGGACGAGCAGAAACCGACAACAGCAGCTACGGCAGCAGCAGCAACAACATTAAGGAAAGGTCCAGTCATGCTGTAGCCTTTGTTTTGCTGTGGGTTCCAGATTCAAACAGAGGGAGAAGAACATGTAGTCTGTGCTCATCAACTCAACGTGCAAGAAAGCAAGATGCACAAACTCAAGCCTGCAGAAATGACATCTGAGCAATCAACGCATGGGCATGCAGAAGATGATATGTCTGACCACTCTACTGTCTTGCGCAGGCCAGTATCTTGATCATTCCGCTCAATAGTTCAGGAGAAACTACAGTGCACTCGTCGAAACAGCATAACAACAGAGACCACGCATCATTTGATTTGGCAGGCACGTAGAGGGAGCGTCCCCAATCCATATCACGACAACATGTCAAAACAGCCAACGGGCAACAGCCAAAAGCCAGGAGCAAGGAAACAAGAACAACGACAACCACAACCACAACCAGAACCACATCCACCACCACAACAACAACAACCAC